TGTACACGGTACTTCATGCCTAGACCCAGTATTTTTGCATTGTATCCGTAAGTACCGCGCTAAAAGTTGACAAGTACCTGAGTACATGCGTCTGTGCGGGCGCGGTACTTTACCTAAGCCTCAGACTACATTGGGAAAACGGGAATGTTGATTCGATTTTGGATGGAGGAAATTGATTTTGCTAGGACTTTTTCTTCTTCTGCAGATGTGAAAGTTTTTTGCTGTTCATGTATGACTTGCTTGTTGGATAGCGTAATGTTTTCAGAGTGAAAAAATATCAGAGCTCTTTGCGTGTACCTGGCCGTTGAACATTGAAATTCTCACAGGGGCGCGGTCGAGTTTTGCCGCCTGCTTTCTTTTTGGCCTTTACAATCTTGCATTTAAAGACAGCAATAATTTCGAGAAGCATATAGTTGTGGAAAGAAGAGAAGCAATCGTCCAGAAAAGACTCAAGTGAGGCAGAGAGAAGGTGGTGAGCTGTCGAACAGGAGATGATTATTTAACACTGAAGGATGGAGGATCGAATGGGGATGGTGCAATGAAGACGGAGATCGTACCTTGACGTACGTTGAAAAGCATCGAGATTTCAATAGGAATTCTCATCAGAAGAAGTTTCTCTTCTCGTGGCTGTTCCACAGACAAAGCTTGGATTCGGAGTGATTTCTGTCATTCTCTTTATTTCTCATTTTTCACTAGCAGAAGACGTTCTCTTTTCAAGATCCCTGGGAAGATATGGGGTGAGATTCCGTCATGAGTGAATCTCTGAGAATTCGGTAGAGATGATGGATCTCGGAGGGACGGCATGCGTTGTACAGAATGACCCTTCCACCTCCATACCGCATCTGGAGGAAATCGTGCGCTTTGCCCCATTGATCCCTCTCCTCCTCCTCCTATCTCTATACGCACCGGTAAAACAATCAATCTTGACCTCCCTACCAATCGTAATGTTACCCTCCTGAAATGGTTTACCAATAGTGATAGAGCTTAGGCCAACAGTTTTCCCAATGTGTGTACACATCCATAGGATCTGGCCCATCTGGAAAGATCCCCCCCTTTTCCCACTCGTTATGCAGCATAATGAACCACATAAATACTAGTCTTCTTCCCTTTCATTACCATAGTAGTCTAGATGAGCCCCACCCGTCTAGGCCCTGTTCATTCCCAGCAGTTTCACTTTTCTCTTGTCAAAACTCGTCACGGGCCATCATCAACCTCTTTCCAGTCACCATCTTGTTTGTTCTCGTAGACTTGGGAAATTAGGTGCAACTTGCTCACGCTACCTCATGAACCCCTACAGGACATGGAGACTCTCCAGTGAAAGCCTTTGAGGAGGGCAAGCCCAGCACCCCTCGTGATTTTGATCTGGCAAGATTGTGGAGGCAGCCAGGGAGGAGTCGCTCGTCCCGATCCAAAACTACCTGTCTTACATAGAGATGGTACCTGCATACAGGCTCCCTTAATCCGTAAGTTGAGAGTGCTTGCTTGGCTTTACATAGCTCGCGTCCCCATGAAGGGGGCCATAAGGTGAACTGACAGCCTGCCATGTTGGCAAATGCAACGGCAAACGGTGCGTAAAGAGCGAGGGAGTTAAGATGCAGAATCTCGACGTGGGGTTTTGAGATTTCGGACGGATCTATTCAGGGATTGCCAACTGGAAGCCACGTTAGATGGATGACATAGCATTGTTGCCACCTGATGTCTAGAAAGCAAAGCTTCGAGGTTGAGCAATGCAAGTATCGCAGTCGTGACACTCTGGACACGACACCTGAGATTGAGAACTCAAAATCTCACGTCTCTTGTATGTTCGAATGACAGCGCGTCTTGAGGCAGGAAGAAAAGGAAGTATTCGTGATGGAGTCATCTAAAGTGAGAATCGATACTCAGAATCATCTGCACTCCTTCTTCCTCCTCTCGCTGATGGTCTACAGGTTCGGCAAGATGAGATCGCTCCTCTGGAAGTCTAAAATTCCTTGCCCGGGAGCTGACTGTCTAATACTCCACCGTCACAATTCACTGAAACTCCGCGTCATATGATCCTCAGCGTCGAGTGTCCCTTCTCCTGCATCATCATCGCAAAATCCTGCTGCTCCAGCATCCGCCCATACTCCCCCGCCAACCTCCACCGCGAGCCCAGCCGCTCGAGGCACCGCTTGATCACATTCATCTCATCCTCGCACTCGAGCGTCCCTTCCTCCCTCAGCAGCCAGGCGAGGGTATTCGCGGCGCCGTAGAGTGCGTCCAGGATCAGCGGGCTCACGCTTCCAATGTCACGACCTCCGTTGTTACTCATACCTACGTCGTCATCATCATCATCATCTCTCTCCGCTCGTGAGACGAGAAGCAGCAGCTCTTCCGACAGCAGAGCAACATCCTTGCTAATCTTCAACAAGACGTCGACGGAACGCGCCTGCTGCGCCGTCTCCTCGGGGCTCTTGAGGCGGCCGTCGGGACAGGCAGGGCAGCAGTAAAAGTCGTGGAGGAGAACGCCTGCCGAGAGCAGCACGCACCGTGATGGCAGCAGAAGTAGGGAAAGCGGCTTTGGCCTCTGCGCCGCCGTCGCTCCTGTCGTGGGGGGCTGCTGTTGCTGCTGCAAGTACTCCAGAGTCGAGAACAGCGTCTCCGACAAGGCGTTCGCCTCAGCGATGGCGTCGGCGGCTGAAGCATGCGGATTCTGTTTGCGATCCGAGGTCACTTTGCGGACGTGGGTTATGATTTTGCCTGCGATGAGGGCGGAGCGGCAGAGGGAAGAGAAGGGAGAGGGTGGTGAGGGGGGCGGGGAGGTGATGTTGTGATGGGCTACGCGGCCGACGCGGCCTTCGTCCTGGACGGGGAACTGTATTAGTCTACTGCGGTCCCTTGTCGAGGAAAAAGGAACGGAGAATTCATACCCATGCTGAGTCGTCTACGGGATAGGTCTCGTTGTCTTGCGGCTCAGGGGAGAGGTAGCGCTTCTTGTTGCCGAGGCAGATGATGCGGTCGAGGCTGATGATGGCCCACCACGTCCGCGATCGCTCCTCCAACTCCGTCCACGTTGTCTGCCCTCAAAGTCAACCGCTGTGTAAAAGTACCTCAAAGCTTTGGAGAAGCTGATATACATACAGGCGAAGCCAGGATAATAGTCCCCTCGTGAAACCCAGGCAGGCCGAGAAAATCAGCATACCGCACGCAGGCGGCAACGGTGATCCACGCAGCCGGGTACAGGGCGTGGGCGTACTCAAAGTAGGCGATAAGCGTCATGGACTGCAGCACCATGACCGACGTGGCGCCGCTGTGCTCCAGCAGGGACATGAAGCGCTTAGCGGCGCGGTAAATTGCCATGTGCTGGGAACCGCCCGCGAGGACGTCCGTCGGGCTGGTGGCCGCGAGCTTCATGGCGAGGAAGAGCATGGCCAGGTCCGGGCCGCCTTGGCTGAGGGCGGCGCCCATGTTCATGCGCTTTTTGGAGACGATGGGAAGCCAGGTGTGAATGGTGGCGAAGTAGGTGTTCACGGCGTGTTGGATCGCGTGGCCGTCGCCTAGATGTTGGAGGACTTCCTACGAAAGATGTGTCAGGCTCAGGAGGCATTGGATGGGTAAAGCCAGTAGCTTCTAATGAAAGTAATTGTCGTGAAGAAGCTTTGAAGAATGCGATCTACGGCAATGAGATCAATGCATTGTTCAGCTTGACACGTACATTTGGGATGTCGATGACGGGTCTCGGGAGAGATTGGTTCAACCATTCCGTGGAAGAAAGGTCGAGAAAGGCATCTGGCGGGTACTGAGCCGAGGCTTGCTGTTCCCAGAGAGGTTCAAGGGGCGTGAAGACTGATGCAGCAGACGGTGTCTCCTCCATGCCTCCCCCAGCAGCGGACCCCGATGCGGAATTTGAGTTGGATGCGGAACCGGGACCAGGGACGGGTGTACCGCCGCTACCCCCGCCCCCGCCTGTGCCCCCCGAGGATGAGGACGCAGGCGTGCCGCCGCTCCCGGCGGTGTTTAGACGGCCCTCGAGCTCAATGAGCTTCAGCTGCAGGGCTGCAAAGTCGTCGGCGGTCGGGGCGGCTGGTGCGGGGCCGGCGTAGTCGCACCGGCGTTCCATGCGGGTGCACAACCCGCACGCCGGGCGCGCCTTGTCGCATTTGCGCTTTTGTCGCTTGCAACTGCCGCAGGCCAGCGGTGCTTTTGCATCTGTTGCGTAGCGGTCTCTGGGCGTGAGGAAGAGCGACATGTTGCTGTCATGAGAAGGCTTTCATGGCGATTTGACACTTGCTTGAAGTTGTGAGGAGGGCGGGGGCGTGGGACGGTGTTGGGGGCCTGGTTCGGGGAGGGTTCAGAGGGGTTTAGCGATTGAGGTGCCCTGAAGCTAATCTGGTTCAGGGGGCAGTTTGCTGACAGACACCACTAAATTGGGTTACGCATTCTGGGGTTTTCTGGGAAGAATTAACTGTTTAAAACTGCTCTCTTTTTCGAAAGTAAATGGTCTTGTATTTATTTCGTGCTGCACTGGGTTGTAAAGCTGTCAATCCGCCTTCAAATTCACCGATTTCCGGAAGGCATGTAGTTGTTTTGAGCACCGGGAATTCGGAAGCCCGAGGCCGATGGACGTTGGTTTGGCCGGACTTGACGTTGAATTAGCCGAGATTACGGGGCCGATCTTCTCCGCTGCCTCACCGCCAGACCCCACCCGCCGTCACCGTGGCAGCCAGCAATGTAAATAGTTCCATGAGGGGAAAATGGAATTGAACACGACGTTTCCGATGCAGTGGAGACAAAATCCATGATCACAAGCGGGGCTGATCACCATTGACGATGCCTACTAGGACCACGCAAGTTCAGCTGTCAAATAGCGCAAGTCAGGAATTGCCTGAGCCCATCCCACATTAGGTAATCCGACTTGAAGCAAACAGCCGTGAGTCCGTGACAGCATGGATCATGTCGAACGATGGTGGGGTTGGGGATTCCCTATCCCTGTCCATGGGAATCTCAAACCGACACCCGCTCGCCGCAGCAGCCCCAGGAAACGCAGGTCCAACCGTCCAGGATGGACCCCTGTGCTAAGCCCCAATGCCCCCCTTTAGCTGAGCTGGACAACGAGGCGGGCAAGCGGGCCATCACCACGGCGCAAATAAACATGGCCCCAGTGAGTCAATTAAGGTGAATCTCTGGGAACTTTGCTTTCCCATTGCCTCTTTCGCCTTTTTCAACTTTCCTTTGTTCCAGCTCCCGTCGTCGCTTGTCTGTTGCAGTCGCAGTCGCATTCACGATCGCTGTGTCTCTCGTTCTTCCGCCTCCCCCGCTCCTCTCCCCCGCAAAATCATGGCCGATTCCCCGAGCCGCTCCGGCAGCCTCCGAGTCCGCCGAACCCGCGGCGGACCATCGCGAAACTCCTCCGCTCGCTCCTCGGCCGCATGGGAGGACTACTCCTACCTCCACCCCTCGGGCAGCTACCAGCAGCAGCAGCTACCGCAGCATGCGCAACAACAACTCCCCCACGCCCTGCGATCGGCATCGTCGCGATTCTCCCTGAACGAGCAGTTCGCCGCCACGCGACAAGAGTACGAATTCGGCGACGACGACGCCTCCTCCATCCTCGAGCGCATGACGCTCGCCTCCGACGTCGGCGACGAGAGCACAATTGCCGTGAGCACGGGCGGCGGCGATGCGACACAAGATATCGATGGCGCCGAGGGCGACTACTACGACCTGCTCTGCCTGGCCAAGGACCCGACGCTGACGCCGGACCAGATCCGGAGGGCGTACCACCGGCTGCTGCTGTACCTGCACAGGGACGGCTTGCCCGAGAACCTGCACGGCGTCGCGCAGCCGTACTTCAACCAGGTGCAGAGGGCGTTCGAGACGCTAATTGACCCGTACCGACGGGCGCTGTACGACGCGGGCCGCTTGCGGGACGTGACGAGTGCGCTCGACGTGCCTATTGACGAGGACTACCGATATGCGTATGATATGTCGCTCAAGGAGCAGCTGCGGTTGCGCGCGGCCGACGTGATGCAGACGTCGTCGGATCTGGGCATCCGGTTCGATGCGACCAATGCGCTGCGGCGGGGGTCTGCTGTGACGCCTCTTGACTTTACTCTGAGTCACTCTGTGACCGTTGGTTTGCCGGTACTGGGGCGCTGGATGGAGAGGACGGCGACACCGAAGGCGCAGCGCGTCTCGTCTACGTCGAAGCGGGTGCCTTCGATTGCGCTCAACGAGAGCGACGAAGCTGGTGTTGACCAACCCCGGGAGTCCATGATTTACCTGCCGCCCCCACAAGTGACGTTGACCGGGTCTGTGTATGGCATCGTAGAGGAGATCTACCGGGTCCCGTTGCCAATTCTAGCGGACCGATACCAACCATTACTACCTCTGACTATACCCCGTAAACGAATCATCCAGCTGGCAGAGCAGCGCCCGTGTCCCCTCATCAGCCTCAAATTCCGACAGGACATCATCCACAGGACAGCCGAAGACCGCATCGCAAAGACATCGATTGAAGTAGAAACCGAGGCTCTACCAGAGGCATCTCTAACAGCCAAAATCTCACACCCAATCCACCTAACAAACGCCCTCCACCCGATACTCCTCGAGGGAAGCATAAAAGCAGGCCGGCCATGGACGCAATCCGCCCCCCGCATCGGCCTGGGTATTCACCGCTGGACGGGCGCCGGCACCGCCTACGCAATCGCGGACAGCGGCGACTGGAGCGTCTGGCCCGGCGAGACCATCAAGCTCTTCACCGACTTCTCGCAAGTAAGCAAGAATCAACTCCTTACCGAGTTTCCCATGAAGACGTCCGCAAGCTTCGAAGTGGGCTACACCACGTCGCCCGAACGCGTCCCGTCCACGGCCCACGAGGATTCCCCGCGCGGGGAGTACGGCATCCGCGGGCTAGACCACGAATCCACAATCGCCAACGACGGCTCGTGGACCGTCTCCGCCTCTCTGACGGCAGATACCATCGGCGGCTACCTCCGTTACGGCAAAGACCTGCCGGCACTTCTCTCGACATCTAGCTCGAACCCCACCGCCCCGACCAGACTCGAACTCGAACTCTGCACAAACACCCTCCTCGACCGCCACCTCGCCCTCCGCAACCTCTGGCCCGTAGGCCGCTTCTCCAAACTCGGCCTCGAGCTCGGCGTAAGCCTGCACAGCCTACACCTCTCCCTCTACTGGTCGCGCCTCAGCCAGCGCCTCAGCATCCCGCTGCTCCTGTCCCCGCGCGCCGAGTTCACGCCGTCCGTCTTCTTCTACGCGGCTGCCGTGCCATTACTTGCGTTCGCCGCGCGGCACTTTTACTCGTCGTACTCTGCTTCATCGGGGCGGGCAAAACGCACTCGCGGGGCCAACCTTGGCGAGGTGGACTTGCAGGCCTACATCGCACGTAAACGGGCCGCGGCGGACGACATCGCCGTCGTGCTCTCCGGCGCCGTGGAGGCGCGGCAGCGCGTGGAGCGGCAGCGGGGCGGGCTCGTCATTCTTAGCGCGAAGTTCGGCGTCAGGGGTGAAGGTGGAGTCGGGGAGGACGGCAACGGCGATGACAACAACGAGAACATCGACCCAGACTGCTGGGCCGCGGAAGAAGTCGCCGACGTCACCGTCGCAGTAGCAGCGCTGGTGGAGGACGGGAGGCTGCGGATCCCGGCCGGGGTGAGAAAGGCCTCGCTGCTGGGGTTCTGGGACCCGGCGCCGCTAAGGCGGAAAGCGCTCCACGTAAGGTACCTGTGGCGCGGGAGGGAGAGCACCATCGAAGTCGCGGGGCGGGATGAGCTGGTTCTCCCGCCTGCGAAGAGGGATTTATCGTGATGTTTCTGGCATTTTGTTAACCTTTTTTTTTATGGATGTGATGTATGATGGCATGTGGGAGATGATCGATGTGGCATTAGTGGAGTCGGGGGAAATGGGGGAAATCTCAATGGGTGGGGTTTTTGCATGGGGATGGTGTTTTTTGGAGATTTGTATCACACCTTGAACTACTTTCCACTCGGAGATGAACAAGTTAGTATTCGATTGAGGGAGAAAAGGGAGCTTCTTTTGGAACAGAGCCTCTAGGGCGAACGAAGCTGAGATGCACTGTAAGCAAACTAAAAAGTTGCCTCGAGTCTCGTCATTAATACCTTAACTCCTCTCCATTGAGAGAAAGCAATCTCATTCCTTCAATCTTTCGATCAATGGAGCAAACAAGGCGGTCATCACAGCTGTTTTGCCACGTTCTCCACAAAAGACGGAATACTTTACGGATTACGGACATTTACGCATCCGATCGCGAAAGTAGACTGCTCCGTAGTGGTTGTCCAGCTCATTTACAAAACCCCACACTGGGCAGCCTCACACACTTTCGGACGAACGTCTCGGAACACGACCAAGCTTCGGCCAATGCGGAAGCTCCGTCGTGGCCTTTACACCTAGGGCGCACGCACGTTGCACCAGGGAGGATTGCAACATTAGACTGTGCATCGCTCGTAGCAGGAGGTAGAATTCCTAGGCCTCGCCGCTTAGGCTTTTTTACTTCAAGTGGGACCCAGTGCACAGAGTTGTCAACTGAGTCAAGTTGTCAACTGAGTCAAGTTGCCAATCAACCTAAGTTCCCGCGTGCCACCATTCATTGGTCGCGCCGCCAATTAAGGTTTCTCTAGCTTCTTTTGAGGTTCCCGGCCCGGGTGGTAGGTGGCGCCAAGTATAGTCCTATGCTGTCTCGTCTATAGCAACGCCAGAAAGCTTGCAACTACAAAGTGGAAATCTATCTCGCACTCCAAAGTCTAATTGTCCTATCCGAGTTTTCGTATCGCGTCGCATCTGACTGACGGCTTTTGAACCGTCTTTTGGTCTAGTCAATGTGCTCGATTGCTGCTAGACTGAATACTTAGCAAACAACAATTCGTATCAATTACCAATCGACATTGATCCACGTGTGCTTTGTCCCAAAATTGGCTCTCATTATCTCATATTGTCGCCTTGAACTGAATTCCGTCAACCAGATTTTGCGACCTTGAATTGATGGCTCCCGCAGTCAGCGGCTCAGACAACGTCCCACCAAAGTCCGCATTGACTCGCTCTCGACACTGAGGGTACTCACTTAATTTGCAACACTTTCAGAAGCGCACGACTAATCGACCCCGAATCTACTGGGTAAATTGTGATGAGCCTTGCAAGTGAATGCAGCAACGATCGCCACAACACTATAGTATTGGTTCTCAATCGCATATATACCACCATAGTCGACAACTCATCCCACCGGCTCATCACCACACTCTTTACCCCATCTTTCTCTTTTACCAACACAACGTGCTAACTACTGCATCCACTCATTTGATCCAGTCTTTTCCAACCTAAAAAATCAAAATGCTCCAATCATCATTCGCCGTCGCCTTCCTGGCCCTCGCCGCCATCCCCGGCCACAAAGTGCTACAGAAACGAGATCTCAGGCTGTGCATCTGGACGTTGCCTCAACGGGTATGGAACCCCCAAAGTCTTCCCAAACCCCCCACCCGCTCATACATCGTCAATCCAGCTGTCGCTAACCTCTCTGCCTCTCAACAGTAACTGCGTCCGAAGCTGCGCCGCCGGCGAAGAGCAGGGCTGCCCTACGCTCTGCAAGAAGCTCACCATGCCGGAGGGCTGGTGTGCGGCAAAGTAAGTTTGCTACAGTCTACTGTACAAAGTGACACGCGGGCTTCGTCTGCGCTCTGCTTGTGTAGAAATCCGGAAGAAAAAAAAAGAAGTTCAACGTGGCTAACCATGAGTTTCTTTTCTTGGTCTTCAGCAACTCTGGTGCTTGCTGGTGCACCCGCGACGACACAAAGAGCTTCATCGACGCCGATCGCCCAGTTGATAAGAGAGATGAGATCAAGACCTACCGCGAGACCAAGGCTTGAGATGCAATGGTGGATTCGTGGTGACTGGGGTTTGGGGGACGTTCTTAGCAGGGATGGAGGGTTGCCGAAATGCACCCCTTTGGCTAGGGTTGGGGTTTGGGTTCTGAGATTTGGGGTTAAGCGCCCGGGCTTGCTGTTGAGAGACCTGACCAAGAAAAAACCCAAGACATGAAAAGAGCGACGGCGCTAGTGGAAACTAGCATCCCACGTCTTCCAATCACAGACCCAAGTCATATTAGTAATACATTATTCAGCTCAGGACATACAAGACACGGCACTCTGTCAAGATTCCAGGTGACCGAAACTGGAATGCTTCCAACGTACTGCGTAGCTACCTTACTGTAGGTCTAACGGTCGCGAATCTGATTGGCTCACTACAGCTCAATGTTTCACACTACTGCGTAAAGCACACCACAAGAAAAAGGTTCAAGTTCGAATATACAGAACAGAATAAATTGTACACGAAATCAACGCAAGACACCCAACGAATACGCACCGTCAAACCTCCTGCAACGTAGTCGCCCCAATCGCCGCACCACTCCTGGGAACCAAAAAGCTGCTCCCCACAACTTTCCCATCCGCGCCCCTGGGACCCTTCAAAACCGACGCATCAACACTCACAAAAGACGCATTCGTCCACGTCGTCCCATCGTTCCACGAATTCCCCGTCGCCGTAACAGTACCCACCAAACTCACCTGCGCACTCCCCGAAGCCCCATTCACAGCCGCCACATTCCCCCGCATACCCGAAGACGAACTCCGCATCAAGAACCCCGTATCCCCGTTATTCCACGCCGAATTCCTCTCAAACGTCAAACTGCCCGGGTTCCCATTATCAATAAACCCCTTCTTCCAATTCCCAAACGCGATGCAATTCCTCACAACGTGATCCGCCGCAGGGTTCCCCGTGATGCCCAACTTGAACCCGTTCCCATCCCCCTCAAACGGAGCAATCCCCCACCGGTTATACCCGTTACCCCAAGCATACACCTCCTCCAGCACCACGGCGGACCCAAACATGAAGAGGTCGAGCCCGTCGTCGACGTTATCCCACAGCCTCGCGTTGCGCAGGACGTTGCCCTCCCCGGACCCGGACTTGCACGCGAAGCCGTCTGCGCTCTCGCCGTTCTTGCGCGGGTCGCGGTTACGGAAGGAGTCGAGGTTCGTGACCGTGTTGTTGGACGAGGCGCCCTCGAGCTGGAAGCCCGTCTCGTAGTTGTCGTGGGTGGAGATGTTTGTGTAGGTGTTGTGGGAGGCGTCGCGGGCGTAGATCCCGTAGGGGCCGTTGATGAGTCTTTGTTCAGGTCAGTTGTGTTGATTGGTGATTGGGAAGTGGCGTGAAGGGGTTTTGACTTACTCCAAATCGTAGAATGCCCAGTAGTTCGCATTCTGGATGTGAAAGATCCCGCGCTCGGAATTAGGCAAGGCCTCATCCAACGCCTTTGGAGTTCTGGTAAAGGTTGGAATACCCCCTGTCAGCCGACAATCTCTGCCCCACAAGCACAGTCTCACTACCACTGCGTAAGACAAAGGGACTCACCCCGGCATATTCTCCCCATCAATAACAACCTTCTCCCCCGGATACGCCCTCACGCTAATCGGCAGCGTCCGCGTCCCGCTCTTCGCAAACTGCACATTCGCCGCCGGCGCGTACGTGCCCCCGCGGAGGAAAATCGTGTCGCCCGCGACGGCGGCGCCGACGGCCGATTGGATGGAGCCGTACGGCGCATCGAGCGTGCCCGTGCCTGTCCCCGTGGGCGAGACGAAAATGTCGCGGGCGGACGCGTGGTGCGCGCTGCCGACGAGGAGGAGTAGGACGGAGACCGCGCGCGGTGGCGGGTTGGATATGAAGGAGAGCATGGTTTGGTGCGCTCTTGGTGAGAAACAAAGTAAACGGGTGAGTTCTTACGTCAATGATTGAGTATCCCTCTCATCTCTCATCGGAGCGGAGGGTCCATTCATTCCTTTATGAACTCGGGTTTGCCAAGACAAGAAGATGATGATTTCGTCCAACTTGACCATCGAAAGCCGCTTCGCCCACATCTCTAAATGACAATTTCTTTCATAAAGTTGCGTGACGTGCAGGTACCGATATCCCGTACCTCACCCCGAAAATGTAACCATGTCGTTCCAAGAAATCCCAAAAGCAAGACAGAAATTCCCCCCAATCACGGGCCCCTGTCTCCACCGAATCAGGAAAGAAGTACCATTTTGCCCGTGTCCGTACCCCCCACCTAGGCCACCTCCCCGGAAGAAAACGATCCCGCAAATAAGACAAAGTCGACGGGATCTCATCTGTTGCTTGGTTTTTGAATCATATTCTTTTCGATTTCGATTGACTGTGTACATAAATGGGCACGGAATTATTTGCATCCGTCCATCCTTGAACAGGGCAGTCCTGAGATCTCAACTCTCACCCCCACACCTCTTTTCTTATCAACAACAGCAAGACCTTCAGGTAGAAGCCCACGTATCCCAATTCTCCGCGCTAAAATCAGGCCAATACAACGCCTGCAAGTCATCATAAAACGAAGCCTCCAGAAACTGCAGATCCAACACCGGTTGCGCAAGGAGCTCCTCCAGCGACGGCTCCGTCAGCGCCATTCCCGCCGTCGTGGGCCCCGTCCCCGGCCGGACTGGAAGCCCACCTGCACCGAATTGCGACGACATCAGTGGGCCGGATTCGGGTTCGGGCCCGGGTCCGTGCGGCGGTGGTAGTACCTCACCATAGGAAGATGAAGAGGAAACCTGCGTCTGCGTCTGCGTCTGCTCAGCGTCCATCCTCCCCATACGCTTCGCATAGAACCTATCAAGCTCAGCCCTCATCACGTCGACGTGGTGACAGTACTCCATTGCAGCGAAATTCCCCGCGTCGCGCAGCTGCGAGAGAAACCTGACCGATTCCTCAAAGGCCTCCTTATCGTCATTGGGCGTTGTACCCGCCCCTGACGCACTGTCCTGGAGAAGACTCGAGGCGGCGAGGATCGTCAGCGCAGAAAAAAGATACTGCGTGTAAAAATAGTCAAACGTCGCAAAGGATCCGTCAATCCACGATTCAGTCAGCAAACGAATCGAGTGGCGCGCACAGCGGATGCAGGCTTCCGATAGCGTGATTGCGCTCGCGGGGACTTGCTGAGTCTCTGTGGTCGTGGTTGCGGATGGCCACGAGGCAACTTTTGTTCGTAGGATGTGGAGAAGAATTGGGCGTGTTGCTAGGATTGCGCACTTGAAGGAGCATGCGTTAGTAAAGAATGTCTGTTCAGGTGAGCGTGTGTGCGAGATTCCAATACCTGGTTAAAAGACAAGTGCAGCGAAATAGGCTTCGGCCCAGTCCCCGCATTATCAATCTGTAAATGGGCAGGCAAGTCCTCCACCCAGGCCCTGAGGTCCTTGAGCGCTTGCTGGACTCTCGTCGACAGAGTCGTCGCCTCGCCCTGGCTGCGCTGGCCGTAGATAGAGCGGACCGTCTTGGTGATGAGGGCCGCCAGCCGCAGGCTCGCCACGTGGTACGCGGTATCCTCAAAGTCGGTCGCGTGAGTCCGCACCACTGCCACCCCATCATTCTCCGCCTCAGAAGGCAGGTCGACGCCAACATCGCTGTCCTGGATGGCGGTCGGGTGACCGAGCTTGGAGGCCCAGATGCGGTCAAAGATGTACGTCGTCCAAAACAGGCGCTTGCGGTGCTCGCGCAGGTCCGGGTCGCGCAGCTGGGACTCGGGGATGTTGAGGTGCAGGCCCATGACGATGGCCATGCGCATCGCCGTGCCGGACATGACAAACGCGCTGTAACGGCGGTTCAGGGCCAACGAGTAGAACGAAAGAAGCAGCATGATCTCGATCGAGTCCGTGCCCGGCCGCTCGTCGAGCACGCCCAGCACGCGCGAGGCTTTTGCAAAATACGGCATGCCGGGGAAATCCTTCTCCGAGGGGATGGACCTCGTCGAGTAGAGCTCACCGATGGCGAAGAGAGCCCACAGCTTGGAGCGAAGCATGAGGTCACCCCAGGAGGGGTTGTGGATGCTCTGCTCGAGGTCGCGCATGACGGCGCTGCGGCGGACGACGTGGTACCGGCGGGCGACGTACTTAAAGGCCACCTCGACGAGGAAGCGCGAGCGCGAGGGCGTGGGCCAGGCGACGTCGGAGGATTTGACGAGGGCCATGAGCTCGGCGTCGGGGGCGTAGTTGACGCGGAGCATGTGGCGGGGTTGCGGCGCGTAGGGGTCCGAGATGACCTGGCGGAAGCGGGTGGAGAAGGCGGCGTCGGCGACCTCGCCGATGAGGATCGGGGTGCGGAAGACGTTGGCGTTGATGAACCACGGTCGGACTTCGAGGGTAGCCGTTGCTGGAGCTGTGACTCCGGTTGCTGCTGCTACTGCATCCTCCGCCGCCGCCGCGACTGTGGAGGGCTCTTCATTGTCGCCTAGGTTTGCGGACGTTGGCGTTGATAGGATCTCTCTGTTGCCAGTGTAGCTGGTGTTCTGAGACAGCGTTGCTGTCGACGTCGTCGTTGATATCACGTCATCCAGCGCCGTACATGTGGAGGCTGAGGCGCTCTGGGAAGCAACCTGGCTCTTGAGGCGGCGGATCTCATCCAGAAGACCGTCAATATAACTGCATTTTCACAAACAATTCGGCATGAGCTCATCATATCCCGTGGTTCATATTGGGGTTGAGGAAAGAAAAAGAAAGGGGAAGCAAGAAACCGTGTGTATTGTGTAGTTGCATGGCTCTCAGTCCAATGTAAAGTACCTTTGTCTGACCTTGACCTGTCGATTGCGGCGCGGGTAAGTGCACTCGGCACCTTTCCCGGCGTGCCGACAATTCTGGCAGGGCTGGTCGCCGGAACACTTTACTTTCCGCGAATGGCATCGGCGGCACGCGGTCGATTTGATGGGCGGGAGAGGCCCGTCGTCAAAGGGGCTTCTCCTGGGCTCCGTCGTGCTCCTGCTGGGTGGGTGGCTGTTGCGAGCCGCCATGGTGGGAAGGGCATTTCTCCGCGGTGCGGATACGAGATGGATGGTGTAAGAAGGGAGAAAAGTAAAAGGTCAACGACAAAGAAAGACGAGAAAAAAAGTGACAAGGTCAAGTCCGTTGCATCTTTTCGAAAGCGTTGCCCATGGCTAATTTCCCACCAACATACGCATACGCGTGCCTACCTTACTTACCTTCCCTTACTGTCGGAGACATTGCAAGTATGTGTCAGAGGGCTCTCCCCTTCACACCGATGACGGCGAAATGTCAGGATGCCGAGGTGGTCCAGGCTTGCCAGTTTTGTTGCTTTGTCAGATTTCACAATGCACCGGCAGCTGGCAGCGGCCCGAGCTTCCCTCTCTCTCCGGTCTCGTCGGCAAAGCAACATTTTGCCGAAAGATGAGTCATCCTATAGATTAGGTAATCACCAACACCCTCTTTCGTCTTTGTTGCATGAGGTAGTGACTTCATCTGGCTTTCATGAGAAATTTGGTGCATGTCTAGATGATTATAGCTTACTGTCATGACATCAAACTAAACCCTCAACTCTTGCTTATACAGCGACGCGGATTGTATCATGCACATAGAGATCAAGTACCCAGATTCCATGAGGTACGTCTTTGCTACTCTGATCTTCATTCATTCGCCACACTACACATGATATTTCTGTTGACGAGTGAGCGACAGAGTAACCGGCGGAATGTTAACCTGACGCCGGAGCGGTCCGGAGGAGTGGGGCCGGCGAGCTTCATGTTGATATTGCCCAGAAAGCCGAAATAAGCGGGGCACATCCCGGAACCTGTGTAAGTTTGGCTCTATCGCGATTCAGGAGGTTCTCCTTTTCTTTTGAAACCCGTCGCGTTCTCCCATATCTTTGAGAGAATCCACGACGCAAGAAAACGGGGAGGCGAGAGTTGATCCAGCCGCAGGCATGACTAGAATTATGGGATCTCTCCCTTCAAGTCGGGCTTCACACCCCGGTTGCGAGAATTGGTCTGCATTTGAATTGCATCAAGTAAGGTATTGTGGGCTTTTCACCTTGACAGGCAGTCAAAAGTGTCGAGACTATTGCTTTTTGATGGCCCCAGCAGCAGAAAGTTATTGTTGTATTGGGAAATGGGAAGGAGGGGCTTCGATTCCCCAGTCTCGGGGGCAGCGAAGCCATGACGCTGCCTCACGACGTGTTGCCAGTCAGCCACCGCGCAACATACGTATTTCGGTTTTCTGCTACAGAGAATCCTTAACCACTCGAAATTGATCTAATTTCTCATTCCACCGCTTTTCGTAGCCCTAAAAATGAAGTCTGAGCGTCAAGTCTGTTTTACCAATCGCCCTCGGGAATTGGATTCCGTGTACACCTCCGTCGCCCGTTAGTCAGCCCACGCACCACACGTAGCTACATCACCAAGAGTAACATCAAGCTCTAAGCCCGAGTACTGGGCTAGAAAGAAAAGGTCTATATAATGGACACACTATCTCCCCTTCGGTCTACATCATGATCACCAGAAGCATCACTTCATAATTGGAAAGCAAACAAAGAAAAAACGAACAAACCACCACCGCAAGAAAATGGCACACGCACTCATCCTCGGCGCCTCGGGAATCTCAGGCTGGTCCCTCCTCAACCAGGCCCGGACCTACCCCACGCCCACGACCTTCGCCCGCATCACCGGCACCACGAACCGCCCTCTGACCCTCGAGCAGGCGCGGCTGCCTGCGGATGACCCGCGCCTGGCCCTCGTGTCCGGGATCGACTTCACGAAGAGCGTGGACGAGGTCGCGGCGGCGCTGAGGGACAAGATCCCCGACGTCGAGACTGTTTCTCACGTCTTCTACACGGGTACGTTCTAAGCAGTATCCAAAACACGTCTGCACAGAACCCAAGAGAACGTCTCTTTGACTGACGTTTATTTCGCGGACCGTAGCATACATCAACGCGGACGAATCCAAGGGCCAAGCGGCAGCCAACATCGACCTCCTGTCCGTCGCGATCAAGGCCATCGAAAAGGTGTCGCCGCGCCTCGCCTTCGTCGTCCTGCAGACGGGCGGAAAGGGGTACGGCCTCATGTACCCGGACAACGTCACGCTGCGCACCCCGCTCCGCGAAGACAGCCCGCGGATCCCGCGGCCGTGGGCCGACGAGGTATTTTACTACGCGCAGCACGACCTGCTGCGGGACCTGTCGCGGGGGAAAGACTGGACGTTTTCCGAGATCCGGCCGGATGTGATTGTCGGGTTCGCGCCGACGTCGAACGCGATGAATATGGCGAGGGGCATCGGGATCTATTTGTCTGTGTGGCGGCATGTTTTTGGTATCGGGGCCGGGAGTGGGGGGTCTGGAGGCCGAGTGGAGGTGCCGTTCCCGGGGTCGTTGCAGAGTTACCGCGCCACGCACACGGATACCAGCCAGGACGTCCTCTCCAAGATGGAGATTTTCGCGGCGGTGGTGAATCCCGGAGGGTGCGGCGGGGGAAGAGCGTTTAACGTCGCGGATGGCGGGGCGGCGACTTCGTGGTCGGGGGTGTGGCCTCGGTTGTGCGAGTGGTTCGGTCTCGTCGGGGTGGCGCCGCCTCCGTCGCCCGACGCCGGTACGAGTCCCGCGTCCGGATCTACTACCCCGCCGCCGCCGCCGCCGTCGATGAAGGACTTTATCGCGAAACACGACGACGCGTGGGTTGCGCTGGCGCGGGAGCACGGGCTAGATGAGAGCGCTGCTAGGCAGTACAACTGGGATATCCTGCATGTGATGCTGGTGGAGTGCGACTTTGACCGCGAGTACGATCTCACGCGGGCGCGCGAGGTCGGGTTCCAGGAGGAGGTTGATACGGTGGAGGGGTATTTTGTTGCCTGGGAGCGAATGAGGAGTGCGAAGCAGTTGCCGACGGTCTAAAGAGTAGGTAGGTATGCTGCATGAAGAGGTGGACGTGGAGTGCGTGGTCGTGTTGAGTCGACGGGCTGCTTGGAGGGAGACAGGGGGATTTGATGGGAGATACCGGATTGCAAGCGGCACCACCAAGTATCTTGGATAGGTACATTGGTAGAAAACAATTGAAACTTGTCATGTTCTTTTATACGAGAATATGCAAAAGAAAACGAACTTCAGCACTAGAAGATAGCAGTCCAATGGCGCGACGTGTCATTCTACGCATTGTGTTTATGGCCTCTTTGGGGCGGTGCGGTGGTGATAGCGAATCCGACGCACAATGACCTGGCCGGACTCGGCTTCTCTAAGGTATTACGCCGGACCCTAGCGGAGGCTCAGTGCAGCGACCGACGGCCGTCCGACTTTATTTCAACATTCTTGAATGTCACCCAGACAGCCTGAACAGAGAGTCAGAGCCATCTGTAGCGTTCAAGCATTGTATGGACAGGACGCTACAGGACGAGAACAAGACAGTGTGTATGTTGAGATCCAGTATTGAGCTAGATAACCTACCGAGTAATGTCCCTTAGATGCTGTAATACTTGCTGACATGACTCAAACGAAGGACACTCTTTATGACCCGAGAAGAAAAGCTCTCACATCCGGGCTAAGACAGACTCAAACTCTGACCCAAATACTGCCAGCTCTCTCAAAATTGAAAATGAAATACGTAAGGAAAAGCTGATATCAATCAATACTTCAGGAGTCTATGAAAGTTTCTTGTCCTAGTAGAGTACATATGTTCCTTTCCACCTCTTTGCCATAAGTTTGACGCCTACAATCTGGATCTTTGTCGCAAACTAGCTAATGCCTAAAGGCTGTGCCTCTGCCCCTTCCACGAGGTCTGCCTCGTCTCGCCGGTATCGCGCTGCCGGCGCCTCCCCTCGAGCCGAGCCATGGGCCTCGGGCCGTTGACGGCATGAGACTGGCCCAGGCGGTAGCAATGGCGGTTGGCTGCGAGGATCCTTCACCAGAGGTCGCCAAAGCGGCCGGCGACTGGACTTGGATGGGGGTTGTTACGCCTTTCATTGAGCCCATACTAAGCGCCGGGGGGGTCCACGACTCTTCGACCTGGATGGGAGTAGTAGGGCCTCCCATTGCGTTCATATCATGCGTCGTAGCCGAACCCGTACTGGATTTGGGGACAAACTCAGGCGGCCATCTCTTCTTCAGAGAAGGCTGAGTCTGATCAGAAGTCTTGCCCGCATTTCCTTCCTCACAATGTGTCCTTTTGGGCGGCTGTTTCGGCTGACTGAGGATCCCCTTGCAATCATCGCTATCGGAAGTGTCGATATCATCGAGATCAAGTGATGGCAACCGAGTGGATTTACCAGGTTCCCAAATGCCATTGGGAAACGTGCCTTTGCCCCAGTTTGGCTTCTTCTTGTACTCTCGACGCGCCTCCATCATTGCCAATGTTTCGGGATGTTTGCACTGCGAACCCCAGGGACAATGGTCAATGTTGAGAGTTGGGTCTTGTGAATTTCCTCGGCGTTTCATGCAATTTGGGCACTTGTAATCCCAGTCCGTGACAGTGCATTCCAGCCACGGGTGGCTTCCCAAACACCTGCAGCAAATCGCGGGATTCGGGCACTGGCTCACAAAGTGGCCAGGTTCGCAGCAGTTGTGACAGATGTCCAGCAGGCTCCGAGGATCGACAGGTCTATTGACGGATCAGCTTTTAGTCCCAGTGAATTAGTGAATTGAACAATAGTGTTCTCGCTTACTCATTATAGGTTTCAAAACGCCGATCTCCAATGTTCATCGGGAACGCCCAATTGCAAAGATGTCTTGCATCCGAAAGCCTGTCCACAACGATGTAGAGGTCAAAAAGGCTGTGATAAACCCTGGAAATCACCGCGTCGGTCAAAACGCTCCATTCGTAAGCAAGGTCGTCGTTGTTTCTTATCCATTCCTCAGTCCACTTGACATCTCCTACACGAATGTAGTACAGTTTGGGGACCATACTGATAGGAACACCTTCTAACCGGAGCAGTCTTGGCAAAGTAGAAAACTCGTCTTCCGCTCGCTTCAAGGAGGCCTCATTCCGGAAAAGTAACTCCATGATATTGCCTCTGAAGGTAACGTCCTTTACATTATTGAATGGCCATTTGCCGCTGCTCCCCAACCGATTGCGGACTCCGAAGTCGTTTAATTTGCGTAGCTTCTGAAAGCTGAGTTTGCCTGGAACCTTGACGATCATTGTCAAGTTCACTGCGGCGGATGTCTTCGACGCGGACTTCTTTGATGAGGGCATCAACGAAGTCGGGGTCCCGGGTGAGGGGGACTGGCGAGAGGGGGCACTGTCCCCAGGGGGTGGGAGTGACTCAGTTTGGCGCGATGGCTCCGAGTGAAGAGGCGGTCCAGTGCCCTGAAGTCTGGCAAGGACTGCGTCCAAGATTGCAGGCATGCTATCTGAAATAGCCTCTCTCACAAGGCGGCATATCTCCTCGGAGTTGACATGATACGTGGGGCTACCGGACATGATGTTGGTCAACCTTGTGTAAGGGAGAGAGATATGTAAGTGCTGGAAAACGAATTAGATATGTGTTCTGAAGAAGCTTGAACGACGAGAGAGGTATGGATATATATACAGAGAGAGAGAGAAAGAGAGAGAGAGAGAGAGGAGAGAAGAGGGATGAAAGAGACCCGCAATTGCTTTGCAATGATTCCATAGGTTTGCAACTTGCAAATTTTCAACACAAAGTAGCGGGGAGGGGGGGAGGGGGGGAGGGGGGCCGATCCAATGGTTGAGCTAGTGAAGACTGTGGATTTCTTCGGGTGTCACTGACCTTCAACAATCACCTGGAATGGGGATAGGGACTGTGAAAACTGAACGAGGTTCGGAGGACAAGGTCCAGCGCGTTAGAACCTGCCTTCACAGGTCCAGATGACACCGTATCACGATCCCGGTCCCCTTGCCATTGGATAAATGCCGAAATTACAAGTACGAAATCTTACGTTGAATCCAAACATACTAAATTGTGAAGTGTCCACTATTATCCACTCAGAATGAGGTACAGGAAGAAGGATACAATTGACAAATGAAAACCCAAAGACGAAGAGAGTGAGAGAGAAGAGCGGCAAGTACTTTCTCAGTCGCTTGGCGGAAACTTGTCCTCTGCCGACGCAAACCTTGCCGGCAACCCCGCAGGGGAAGTCAGACCAAATATCTGCTGCTGCTTCCCGGGCGCATCTCCGGAATCGGTCAGACACGACTGCGGCTTCTTCAAAGGCTCCAACTGCATCGGTTCTGGCTGCGGCAGAGACACTGGAACGTTTCGAGCGCTTTGAGTTGCACCGCCCACGGCGTCGAAGACGGCGGTAGGCTTAGGCGCGGAGTTTTTGACCCCTGATGGCCTACCACGACCTCTCTTCACCGGCTCGTCCATCTCGTGTCCCGCTCTGCTCACACTTGCCTGCACTATCTGCTTAGATGAAGTTGCAACGCCACTAAAACTAGACTTCATTCTTTCGAAGGCATTGGGAACTTTAATCTCAGGTCCCAGAGGGGAACGGCCTGAGGAGGCTCTAGGCGTCTGCATGGCTTCGTTGCCCCTCGCCTCAACTTCGGTCGCATCCTTACCCACCGGCACATCTATGACTTGCTGACCATCGCCGCGATTCAAACCGCCGACAGACGACGGCGCTGATGATGCCCCAGTCGGATGAGGCTCGCCTTGACTGCTCGACTCCATGTTATCGTCATCAACGCATTGCGTCGAAACTTTCTCCCCAGCAGCCCTTCTTGACTGAATTTTCCTATTCCTTCGTGTTTTCGGGGGAGCTGTGGTCTGGCAGGTCTCACACGTAGTCTGAAATTGAGCCGAGGATGAGGCCCAAGGAACTTTGACATTTGCGAGTTGCTTGCAATTGTCAAACATTCGCTGCGTTGCGACAGATTGGCACTCCGGGGACCAGGCGGCATGGCCTTGATCCTTAAGATCCCTGACGCCCTCATTCTTGCAGTTGGGACACCTTTGCTTGATAGTTTTGCACGAGAATGTGCTATGTTCTTCAGCACATTTTCCGCATCGCTGAGAATTGGTGCACTGATCTTTAAAGTGACCAGGTTCGTAACAATGTACGCAGAAAAGTGGCACCGAGCGGATGTCAACAGCCCTGGATAGAACGAGCAGTTAGTGGTATGTCTCTCCCTCACGCAACCTAGCCAACATCTTGTAGATGACTTACTCAGCCGTAACCTTTGATCCGCTCAAGTAAACCCACTCATTGCACAGACGGAGAGCATCCTTCTCATCAGTCAGAGTCAAAACAGTCCTTCCAAAAGTCCTCGCGCTGTGGACAATCTTGACCGAGTTTTCTTTCCCCCAAGCTTCATTCCGATTATGATTTTGCTCGAATTCGGCTCTCGACAGTCTTAGTCCGTGAACTTCGACGTAGTAGTTTTGAGGTACTTGTTCGAGTTCGCCAAGTTTGAGTTCTTGGCAGACAATGTTTGAACGGCTGTAAATATCCTGCACAGCTTTGTCGTCCTTGCAGAAGATTTTGAGCACGTTTCGATCGATGCGAGCACCCAAAACCGCATCCCAGCACGACTGTTCATGACCATGGACCCCATCATCCGGAGCGTTGTTAACGGTCCCTCTGATCTGTTGCTGTGCGCTCCCTTTCGACTTGCGTTCGCGCGTTCGTATCCTAGACACAATCTCCATGATTTGGCTTGGCTGCAGGGCGGTTGCTGCCTCGAGGTACTCTGTATGTCCCTTCATCTTGAGCCTGACCGTGGGCGGCTCGCGCATGGCACGCGTTTCGATAGGCTTCAACTCTTTTCGAATAGTCTTCAGGATCTCTTCCATCCCCTGGGGGCCATGTTGGGAAGGTCCTTGGAGCTGGAGGACTTCTCTGAGCAGTGGTATCGATGAGAGTTGGCTGTGGTAGAGATCCACCAGACTCTGCACGACGCTCATCGTGACTTCCTCCGTCTCAAGCAACGTTTGTAGCTCTTTTATCATGTGGTTGAGATTCTCGGTCCGGGGTGGCTTCGTGGGCAGAGGGGTCTGGTATCGATACGAGGGCGCGAGGGCGGGTTGTGGCGGTCGAAAGGAAGTGGTCGAAGCTATCGAGATTGAAAAACGAAGAGGTCAGTCTCGTGCGAAGAAGAAGAAGAAGACGAAGAAACCGTGCAAACGTTGGCACGGCATTCTGTCACTTGCTAGAGATCAAAGAACTCACCTGCCGGGGAAGGGGTGTATAGTCGCTGTCTCTGAGAAAGGGGCTGGCCACGATCCGAGGCGGATTCCGGCCTTAGACGCTTGTTTCTGCCCTTGAAAATCTTTTGAACTAGTCCGGCCATCTTCTCTAGTTTGGTATCTCCCGCCAGAGATGTGTGTAGAATATCTCTGAGAAATGCTCTTGTCAACGATTGAAGTGACGCAAAAGTTTTGAACGAGGTGGAAGAGGGGAAGGGGGAAAGCGGACGAAGCCCAGAAATCCTCAAAAGGGGATATGTTAGTGGAAGTCCATTCCTGCCGACTACTCAGACTCCAACAGCGTGGTACGTTGACCGTAGAGGGCCGAAAAAACGATAATGATATCTTCCCTGTCATCTTGTATCCCTGCCAACCAGTGGCGATGTCGTGATGATGACAGATTGTGAGAATATTTGCCAGTTGTATCCGATGCGGTAAAGCTTGACTGGGCAATCTCATTCCCCATCCTTGCAATTTGCAAGAGGAGAGAAAAGTAGCAAGAGGGTCCGCACCGAAGACGGAGGAGGCGTTCGGTTTTCCAGAAAAGTCTGACCTTCCGAAAATTAATTATGGTGTCGTTGCTGCATACTTCGGAAATGAGAGATAGATAGAGAGAGAGAGAGAGAGAGAGAGAGAGAGAGAGAGAAGGTCACGGGTACTCTGGGAGAAAGTACCGCAAGTACATACAATGTCTGTGGAGGTTTGGAAAGAAAGAGGGGTGATGAGCCAGGACCCGTGACTGAAAGAGGTAGCTTTTCTTGCCTCATGTAACTGTGCAATGTCAGCCGTCCCCGAGGATCGTCGTCGTTGTCGGGGTCACGGCGAATGAGTGAAAACTTTTCCTCTCTTTGAAATGAGGTGCGTACTCCTGTGGTACTCCGTATGTGGCTCAGCAATTACGGCTGGCAGCGGGCAAGCTGAAAGTTTGAGGGGACTCTGGCTCCACGGCTCGGGCAACCTGGCCCTCTTGTGGGCACTGATAAGGAATCCATGGAGTTTGCAGACCCGAGGTCTAGACCCGAGGACCAAAAAGACCTGGTGAGACTGCGACACTGTGACTGGGGAGACTTGTCACCTGACGACCTGCCTCTGCGAGTCTCCATGCATTCAACGGCCTGTCCCTGTACGGATAAAGGTAAAGATCCCGGACGCAGAGGGTGCGGAGTACGTAGTATGGTCTACCTGAGGTATGAATGAGGGGGATCCAGGGGAGGCTATCTAAACTCAAACACCTCGGTTGCTAGACTGTTGGTGTGCCAATCGTGTGGTGCTCGAGCAGATTAGGGAAGGCTCCATTTTGAGTAGATCAACTACGGTGTCAGAATTTTCATCTATTGTCAGACCCTTCACCGGCATCATTTCCCAAGCCCAGAGGCTAGGACCAGGCTAAGGTACTGGTTCTCTGGATCGTGGCCTGTGTCGCGGTCCGTGGACCATGCATGTCCGCAGGTGGTATTCGTACACTATGTACTCCTTAGTAGTAAAAATATAATCATGTCAGAAGAATCAGGAAGTGGGGAGCGCACGACGGACGCGCCACGCGTGACGCCGGACTGAACTCTCCTCCTTCAGAATCAGAAGTATCATTGGCTTTACGAGAAACTCCCCATCCGCACCTTGCAGTCGCACCATACAGCATCAGCTGATCTATCGAAACCTTGTGTTGCTTATGATGGGACCCGGACGACGACGACGATTCGAGGGTGTCAATTGGACTCTATCTCGATGTATCATCTACGACCTACGTGGTGGGAAAAGAAAAGCACATGGTCCAACTCCGAACCTTCTGTCTGCCGAGCTGCCCCGTTCCAAGATGACCTTTGACGGCCCCTGCGGTGGCCTAGGTACCTACCTACCTAGGTAAGGTACTCCGTAGACGCCGGTCTCTACCTCAAGGTATATCACACACACGCACACTCGCCGTCGATTCCGTCTTGCAATCTTGCATTGTTTTCTACATGTCTCCCATCTTCATCGCTTTCAACTCCATTGATCCATTCCATCATCCTCTTTTCAACATACACCTTAGCCGAACATCGAAGAGCCGTTTGGCATCTTGTCTTTTTTCTTCTCTCTTTTTCTCCTGGCGAGCTCAGCAACCGACCTCTTCTCGCCCGTGACTTTATACTTCAAAGACGCCAACCATTGCGTTGGCGCTGAAGTGTAGGCCATGGGTGCCAGCTCGAGTTGCTTGAACGGCGAGATTGAAGGGGCCCTCGTCATTTGGCAGATCAACCTGAAAGCTAGCAAAAACCGTGCGAAATATCTTGTCAACCTTACCAAAAACAAGTACCCGAATGGACCACCTCATGTCATTGCCATTCAAGATCCTCCAAAGGAACTTCCATGGATTTCCACCGGGGACTACAAACCGGTGTACCGAACAGCTCGAACGCTACGCGAGGAAGACCATCCATACATACCGTGTAAGCCAACCAAGAAGGCCAAATACGAGCAACGACAGCTTGTGGATCTTGATCCAGTGGCCTTCTTGGTGTTGGACACGATTCCTATCGGACATTGGCATCCAACCTTTCACGAGGACCTAGACGCCGACCCCCGGGTCTTTCAGGACCGCCTCGACCGCCTCGACCCCCCGACGCCGCGGCACCAAGACGCTTTCGCTGCGACCTTGGCCCTTTCAACCTTGGCTGGTCCCATAAACATTCACAACGTTTACAATCGCCAGACGAAAATCAATATCGACAGGCTTTTGGCCACGTGCACCTTGGGCCAGGACAACCTCCTCCTCGGCGATTTCAACCTACATCACCCCCGCTGGTCCCGCACACCCTTTGTCGGACCTATAACCTCTGACGCTCGGAGTCTGTTTCACGGGACTGAACAGGCCGGAATGGAATGCATCACTGAGCCTGGCGCCATGACGTACAGCCGAGGTAGCGACCAGGAAAAACACACCTCTACCATCGATCTGGCATTTCTCAGCCAGAGTTTACTGCATCGTTTTACAGATTGGAGCATCTTGGAAGGGCGTAACTTCAATTCAGATCATCGAATCATTCAAACCACTCTACTCATGGAGCCTGATCGAACGTCCAGCGATCGCTACCTCTGGGGCAAAGCTGACGTTGCCGGGTTTCGTGCTCATGTAGAGCGTGAGCTGGCCAACTCGGGCTTGCTGGACACGGCACTTATGAGCAAACCCGATATCAATGCTTACTTTTCAAAGTTCAACGACATCATTCGACTCGCCATCCCTTTACATGTTCCCCTCGCCAAGCCTCCCGTCATCCGCCGCTCAGCCAAGCCGCCACCATCAAGGGACAAGCAACATCCAAATTTTGAGCAACAGGCTTCGACTCGGCTGGGCACCGATCTAGATGCGGAGGACGACTTCGACTCTTTTTGCCGGCGCCTCGAACAGCAAACCAGGACGGAAAAGACGAAACAGTGGCGGACCATGCTTTCTGGCGACGGCCACGACTCCCCAACTATCCACAAGCGTGCCAAGATAGGCGTCTTCTTGAGCAAACCTCGCGTCTCCGGTCAGATACCCTTCCTCGTCGGCTCAGACAAGACCAAGTGCACAAGCCTCGAGGAGAATGCCCAGTGCCTCCGGAAATCAGTGTGGCCTAATACCAGCCAAGGGCCCAGAGCACCCCCTCTTCAACTTCCCGACCTCGACCCTCTACAACCCCAGCTCTTTGCCGACCAGGTTGTCTCTGATGACGATGTCAAAGCTGTCTTGTCAGGCCTCACCCGCGGTAAGGCTGCCGGGCCAGATGGAGTTTCGCCAGACGCCCTGAAGATGCTCCACCACCCTTTTGACGAGCCTCCCGACGAGGCTGTCTACGGCGGAGGCGATGAAGCTCTCCGAGACAGCGTGAACAGCATCATCCATCCTTACATCAAACGTGGAGCGCAGGCCTGTCTGTTACACTCGTACCACCCGGACGCTTTCAAACCCTCGATTACGGTCATCTTGCCCAAACTCAACAAAGACGACTATACAAGCCCGAAAGCCTACCGCCCAGTGGCTCTGCTATCCGTCGTCGGCAAGCTGATTGAGAGGATTGTTGCAAACCGTCTCAAGAAACTGGCCTTGGAGCACAGCGACTTGATACCCTCGACGCAGTTCGGTCTACCCGGCAAGTCCACGACCAAGGCACTGGAGCACCTCGTCAATTTGGTGCAGCAGTGTTGGTCCCCTATCGGCCGTGCCAAGTTGAAGGCCACGTTGATGACGATCGACATTACGGGCGCGTACGATCACGTCAGACGATTCGAACTGCTAAAGATCCTTCGCCAGAAAGGCGTTCCCGATTGGATTGTGCGGTTTGTCTGGTCGTTCCTCAGCGACCGCAAGACTGTCCTCAAACTCCCCGGACACACCTCTGAAGAGTTTTGGGTCGATATTGGCATTCTCCAGGGTAGCCCTCTGTCCCCCATCCTCTTTCTCTTCTTTTCCAGCCCCATTCTAGAGGCTCTTCAGGTCTCTTGTCCGTTTGCAAGTTTTGCGCTGGCCATGTCTTACGTTGACGACACCAACATTCTCGTCACGTCTCCTTCGGAAGCTCAAAACTGTCAAGCATTGAAGTTCCTCTACGACAACTTGGTGGGCTGGGCATCGCCCAACGGCATCTTCTTCGGGCCTCACAAGACATTCGTCATGCATTTCAGGAAACCCAGTAGTCGTGGGCCGCCAAGCACCGAGCTTCCCGATATTCCCGGCCTCTCCAAGAACTGTCTGCAGACAGAGCTTCTTTTGCTCGGTGTTGTTGTGGATTCGAAACTCACATGGGCAGCACACATTGAACAAGTAAGTCACGCCTTTCAATTTTCATTTGCCTTCGTTTTCGTTCTTTTCCTCCCTCGTGGCTGACCTTTTTGTCGACAGGTTATTACCAAAGTCAGGAGGAGGATGATCCATCTTCGCAGAATATCTGGATCGACTTGGGGGCCATCATTGCACGAGATGAAGAAGCTTTACGTCAGCTCGGTCCTTCCCATCTTCTCATACGCTTGCCCCGTTTGGTTCGTCGACGGCCGAGGCCAGAAGATCCGAGGCCAGTTGACAAAGACGTTGGTCCAATCTCTCGACGCGGAACAGGCGCGGTTTCTGCGATTCATTGCAGGTGGATTCGAGGCCTCTGCCTCGGAAGTTGTCCACAAGGAGCTGCACATGATTCAGCTTTCGGTCTATCTTGAACAACTTGCGCTCAGGCACCGGATCAACAACCTCTATTCCCCAGAGCATCGGGACCTCAAGGCAATGTGGGACAATGTCTTCACAGACATTGCAACGGAGCAGGAGTTGGGCGCTCATCCCTACAAAGCCCTCTACGGCCAGGCGGAATCCTCGTGGCTCGAGATGCGCGAGAGGGTTCTGGATAAGCAGCTTTGCCGAGCGAACTGGAACCCCGAGCAAGCCGTGCAGTCAGAAGCCGAGGGCTGGGCCGATCCCAAGCGCCGCAAGGCCATCATCAAGGCCTACCTGAAGGACATCTCTGTGGAGAGGAGCAGTCTAGCGTGGGATCGATACAGAAACGACCGAAGCGGCAAGGTCCGCAACATCAACCGCAGCACTCCGGCTCTCAAGGAAAACTGGGGCCCAGAGAGTCTCAAGTACTATCAAGGGCTCACGCGTGCTCAGAGTAGCATGTTGTTCCAATGCCGCAGTGGGGTGATAGGGTTGAACGGCTATCTCTTTTCGCTTAAGGCGAACGTGAGTCATTTTATTTTTCTTCCTCCTCTTCCTCTGCCTCTTCCTCTGCCTCTTCCTCTGCCTCTTCCTCTGCCTCTTCCTCTGCCTCTTCCTCTGCCTCTTCCTCTGCCTCTTCCTCTGCCTCTTCTTATGCATCTTCTCATGCCTCTTCACCGGGCCCATCTTCTTTGACGCTGTGAGTCTAACTTCTCGTCTTTACTTCAGTTGGTTGAGACACACCGGTGTCGCTGTGGTCATCCGATGCAGACGGCCGAACATCTCTTTGCCCACTGCAAACAGCTCGCCTTCGAACGCAGTCGCTTGCGCAAGCATGTCGGCGTAATCAACTTCGATTTGCTGGTCACAACCGAAGCCAACATGGCCACCGCGTGGGCGATTCGCCATTTCGACATCGCTCAATTCAGGTGGACGGGCAAACACATGCCGCTTCCCCGTTGATTGCAGCCCGCAGCTTGCCACCAACCACAACCACCATTGCCGAACCTTCTCACCATTTTTCGGAGGCCAGTTTCATTTTTGTCTTTCCTTCTCTCGTCTCGTTGTGCCCTCTATTCTTTCCAGACGTCGAGCACACGTCTATGCATCTCATTGCGCGGTACCTTCTTTGGTCTCGGATCTAGTGTACCCGAGACTGCTACTAATACCTCGTCGCATCATTGTTTCCCCCGTCCTCCCCCTGGACTCTTCGCCCTGGGTTTCTCCTTTGTCTTCTGTTCCGGGTCAGTGCCACGGCATTCCTGGCCAACCTGCCAGCCTACCTCGCCTTTGTACAGTAGCACACCTTAGCCCAGACTTTCAATTCAACCCCCTTTTGCCCTCACCCCCCGACGGAGCAATCCGCCGGGGCCGTACCGTGTATTACGTATTGGGGTGAGATCTTCGGTGACCTTGCAGTCCTTGCATTCCATGATCGCCTCACTGACCTGTTACGGATCTAGGAAAACTGGGTATATTGCGCTCCGTACCTAATTACTAACCAAAAGTAAGTGGACTTCCCCAGCGTTGCTTTGTGCTTTCATGACGCGAGCCGTTTGACTGACTGGCGGACCGAGCCGCAGCAGCAGTCAACCGACTCGACCATTGTCTCCCTTTCATCAAGTACGCGGCCTGCTCGTTCCTCGCGTTGCTCTACTATGCTAACAGTCGTGTTGAAGCAGCTCCCGACCTTCCGCCGCGTGAGTATGCCCGCCCTGTCCTTTCTCTTCCATACGAGGCATCAGTAACAGGTCTGACAGAGTCCTCCCAAGTTCCAGCCGTCTACAGGGCGAGCTTCACCCACTCCAACGCGCACAGGACCTCCTGGTGCCAGCCCGCGTGGGCGGCCAGATCCCGTATCACGTACTCCTTCTCGTCGAGGGTTAGGGGACCCCTTATATAGTCCCTCACGTCCATAATATGGCCCGTATCGGAGGGATTTCTGGCCCCGTAGAGCATGATTTCCAGGCCGGCGTCGATATGCCGTAAGTCGCTCGATGCTCGACCAAACTACAGAAACTGACGGTATTCCCCAGGGATCTTGGCGTCCGTGCCGGCCCGGCTGTCCACGGCGTTCGTACTGTCGCCCAGCCGGATTCCGCACCGCCGGAAGGCACTGCGCCACTCCTTGGGCGTGCCCACGTTGGCCACGATGGCCAGGGCGTCGAGGGGGCCCGTAAGTTCACTCCATACATCATGAGGATGTCTAGCTCCTTTAGCGGCAAGAAGGCCTCTGCAGATGAGCCCTGCTGACCAGAGTTTGTCAGAAGAATCTGTCGAGCCCCAGAGGGGGGGACCTGTCGAGGGGCATCTTTGGGTGAGACTCGTCGCTTTCTTTTTCCCCCATACTCATAAATACCACTGACACTCTTCCGAGAGAGTCCTAGCCCGCTGGCTGCTGACTGTATGCTGGGAGGTGACTGCTCTCTTTCATTCTGTGTTTGTATGAGCAAAGCTAACCATGATTCAGCAGAGTAGGTTCTCGTCGAGGTGGTATTTTGATTGGCCAACCTCTTGACTGGTTGTCTGACTAGTTGTCCAGGTGGTGGTTTGTGTGTATTGATGGGTTTGTTTGGTGGGTTTGTTTGGTGGGTTTGTTTGGTGGATTTGTTTGGTTTGAATGGAGGTTGGTCACAAGTGCTTCCACTCCATCCCTGTGGCAGACGCTAACCACCCTCAGAGCAGCTTTGGGTGATGTTGGAAGTGATGAGGATGGAAAGAATCTTTGCGAGCTCTGGTACGGCAAGTACGATGGAAGTTTCATGATGCACCAAACAACGACTGACATGAGAGGAAGAAGAGCAGCAGATATTGGCCCTTTTGGCCCTTTCTCCGGAAACCTCTACGTCGCCATCAAAGTTCAGAACCTCTGCGGTTGAGGGTGAGTAACTTCCTTACTAGGCACGGATGCATTGCACAATGGCAGCCATTTTGAGATGAAGTTGTGCTAATACTCATCATGCCAGAAGGCCGCCTCCGACCTTTACGGCCGACCTCTGCCGTCGACCTTTCCGGCCGGCGCCGCCGCGTGAGTATGTCGCTCAGCCTGTCGTCAGCAAGCAGCGTACCCCTCCCTCATCTTCTAGAGAACAGAGACATGGAGCTAACACGAGATTGAGCGAAGGGTGCAGCTTGCCCATCCCGAATTGAATGGCGGTTTTCGTATCGAAATCACCATATTGCGTTGAGCGCGTGCTTGGGGCATATTGCGCGTATTGTGTAGTCAAAAAGTGTACCGTATCGTGTGATTTCCCTTGAAAGCGTGATCCCGTTAAGGTCGATCTTTTACGCCTGTAAAGCCGGAAAAAAACCACCACATAAAATACAATTGTCCCTTAATTCTGGTTCCTCCGTTGCCGTGATCTACCGCTCGTCGTCTCAATTGTCAAGTCAGGTGTATGCTTTGGCGTTAATCCTTCAGGGTATCCAGCGTCAGTCGACTAACTGGTAAGGTACCTAGGTTCCTTGCCTTACCTACCTCCATGAGGTGTGCTCCTCATTCAGAGGCTCAGAGGCTCGGAGGCTCGGATTCTATGGCCCAGGCCACCAAGGTGCCTGAGGGGCGGGTAAATTTGGCTGTTTGGCGAGGAACTCTCCAAGTGTCGTGGTTAGGTACCTGCAGTGAGTACGAATACGTACCGCGGCACCGCGGTCTCGTCCATGGCTCAGTCAAACCTTACCGTAGGCCCGCAGCGAAGTAATCTCGTGTCAGTGGAAGCTGGGCAGCCTGAGATACCTACCGGGAGTAACTGGTGTTTTCGGGCTATCTTGCCTTGAGGTACCTAAGGTAGGTACGGAGTGCAGTAGGTAACGTACCTAGTACCTCAAGGTAGGTAGGCTCAAGTCAGTAAATAAATTAGTGGGCTACACACATCGCCGCGCGACCCACTGCCGCCACGGAATGTACATTTGCCCGCACAAAGTAGTGGCAGAAGGCGCAAAGGTACATGCATGACCCGGCGAATGTTGCCTACCTAAGGTAGCTAAGGTACATAGGTACTTTCCATAATATACCTGCCTATTTTCTGGACCTTAGGTACCTTAGGTATCTTACTTTCTATGGCACTTTCCTACACATGCATGCCAACTCCTCGAAAGTCCTCATTTAGGTGCTCGGAAATGTGCCTTTTTGTGACTAAGCTCTGAAAAGATATTGTGCGGGCAAATGGTGCGTTCTGTCAGGCGTACCTAGGGTGGAAAACATCATAGTTAGGCAGATGCGACACGTGACTGCCTTCTGCGGGTGCACTTGGTACGTGCCTAGGTAAGGTAGGGGACCACAAGGTACCTACCCGTCTGGCTGCCTTTCTCCGCTGTGCCATCCCCACCTGCGAACCTTGACCACCCCAGGCCACCCAGCACGCTTAAATAATACCTTCCACCTCTCCCCGTCGTGCCTGTCGCCGCCCAACACCATGTTCAATAACCGCTAGCATCTCATCCCTGCGCAAACCCCACGATACAAAACATCCGCCTGGCATCTTCTTCAATCGTCACACAGACCCGACTCCTACGTAATCGGGAGGAAGGAGCTCGCAATGGCTACATTTTTTCACCTCCCTCGAGAGCTGCGGCACATCATTTACCAGCTCTACGTTGTGTCCGACGGAGGCTATGTCCTCAATCCCGAAACCAACAAACTCAGAGATGCCCTGGGCAGACCAATCGACCTGGCTTTCGCGTACACATGCAAGCGCGTTGCCGACGAAATGAGGGGCCTTGCACTAGAAGCGAACACCATTACCGTTTCAACCTTTTACTCGCCAGACGAACGCCACAGAGCTAGAGACTTTGATCTCGTCACCATGATGCTAAATGAAGAACTGGAAAATGCACTTCACTGTTCACAGCATCTTCTCTGGGATGATACATGTGATGACATATCGGGGGCGTTCCCAGAGTTCACGCCCGTTCTCGACATGATCAGACATGATACGTGGGGCACATCAACCAGGCAGGGCCCATGGGGTGAACCTCACTCCGTTTATCGAGATTTCGTACGCTTCGCTTTGCAAGCCATCCTAAGCACTGATGACAGGCATCGGCTCAATGGCGACTTTACGGAACTCTCATACAACACAACTGACATCCAACACCTTCTCGATATGGAGCCGAACCCTTGGACCATTCCAAGGCAACATGATCTCCGACAGATAATAGACGCGCTCGGCGGGAAACATTCAATAAGGAAGTTTGGTCTCGAAAGATTCTGGATGGGCTCTGAATGCGCCAGACGTGCCATGTTTCGCTATTCCGCAGCCGCTGTTGCCATTCGGTTTCTGGAATCCAATACGCCTGCGACCCGAGCGCACATGAGGGACATCGTGCTGATTGAAGACCAGGAGTCTGTTTCAAATCCCGAGTGTCACGCAATGGGGTTGATACCTTATTGTCGAGAGAATCCCGACTTGCGGATAGAGCGACGCGTCAGCCTGTGGCGGAACGCTTTTTTTCATCTGCGGGGGCAAGCACTTGGTGAGCGGACACACCAAGACTACAATCTCGGTCTAGACGCTAATGAGATCTCTTACGCCGTCGCGCGCTGGGTTATTGAGGTATTGCCACTCGTCTCCGCCGGTATGCCCACCAAATCATTTACGCTGGTCTTGGATGGAGAGGGTGAGCCGCAGTGTTCGGAAATTTTCCAGACTGTCGTTCTGCGCGATGCTGCGTGGCAGCAGGCGATGGAAGAATGTTTCCAAAGCGGCGCCCTTCCGCCAGAGCCGTATGGGATGAGGAGAAATACCCAGAGGACTCCGTTACTCGGCTTCTTCCCCGCCTATAACAACTGTTATCTGTTTGACAAGTTCCCGCAGGTAATGCGAGAAATCGTCGACGGGACGTCCATGGTTCGTTGCAACTTTGACACTGGGGACTTTGTGGACACGGAGCCATTCAAGTTGGTCGCGAAGAAGGGGTTATGGAGCGTGGATCACTGGAGATTCCACTGGTACGAACGTCAGAAGAAGACCTATCAGCCTTCTCCTCCGTTGCCGTCGTGGAGCGACATCAAATCTGGCTATCTCTCTGATCGCCATGTTGCATTCACGCCCTCTCTGACTGAAATGATGTCAAGCTCTTCCGCCCCTCAGGGCCTGCGGTGGTAGTAGTATAGAGACTACTATCGCGCGGAGCAGCCGAGGAGTCCAAACATGTAACACTAGACAGGACCAGCATATGTCTTCAGTCGACAGAACGAGATAAGAAGAAGAGAGAAAAAAAGAAGAAGAAGGAGAAAAAAAGGGGGCGGAAGGGTTTAGACTAGCCTAAGTATCCGAGGAGGTTTCGTTCGCTGGCGGTAATTACTGATCATCACACCCAAACAAAGTTGAGAAAGTCATCTGTCAAAAGCGTCACGAACTCCTCCAGAGACATGACCTGCGCGTTCCCAAAGCCCGCATCTTCGGAACTTCAGCCAGATCGCCACTGAGGTGGTAGCGAACGACGAAGGAGAGAGGAGGGCCTTTTTTTTGTTCAATCTTCTGGAGGTCATAATCCGGAAGATAAGGGTCGAGAGGGAGGAAGGGGAAGGCAGGATCGGAACATGTTAAAACGATAAGAACATGATGGAGAATTGGCAACTAGGCAACACGTAGCTTGTGGGCGATGGAAGTTTGGGCCATTCCATGCGCAAAAGGCCCTCTTTGGAGATATTCTAGTACTGAAAACTGGCCTTGTTTTTTTTTCTTTTTCTTTTTTTACATTGACCAAGTGATGTCACTGCCGTTCCGGTTTCTCTTTTCTTCTTCTCCGTAAACTCCCTCCTGAAGTCTGTTTTTCTATCGCAAGTCCCCCCCACCAAGGAAAAAAAAAGCCGTCGGCGCGGCCGGGTATCATACATCCCGCTCTTCAATCAAACCCTCTCTCCTCCTCCCTCGCTTCCCCTGATCCCCTGCATTCACCGCCCACGCTTCATACCAGCCTGGCTCAGCAAGTCCACGTTGCGCGGCAAGTCGAAATCGCCCCTCGCCTCGAACCAGAAGAGCATCTCCGGCTCCGGGCCCGTCGGCTTTGTCGGTTTCTTCGTCTTCTGCGACTGCCCAGACATGACCACGTCCCCATCACCACCACCGCCGCCGCCCTCCTCATCGCTCTCCTCCTCGTCGTCCTCGTCGTCCTCATCATCGTCATCCTCCTCGAGCCCCCTCCTCAGCCCAGTCCTCACATTCTCCACCCCCATCCGCCGCTCGTCCTCGGTATACACGTCCCCCGCCTCCTCGAGGACGTACTTTTGCACCCGCTCGACGGTCCACGCGCGCACGTCGCGCCACACCGCCTCGAGCTGGGCCTCGCCGCCGGCGCCGGCGCCGTTGCCAGCACCAACAGGTCCGCCAGCAATACCGGGCCCGCCGCCAATGCCGACACTGCTGCCGTCCGACGAGGAAGGAGGCGCGTTTGCACCGCGCAGCTCCCGCGTCGTCTCCCGCCCGCGCTCGACCCACTCCTCGACGCCCGGCTCGAGCTTCTTGCGGAGCAGCTGCAGCAGGATGTTCTCGTGCACGCGGCCCGGGTAGGCGACGTCCGGGAAGACGTGGAGGTGCTGGAAGACGTGGGTGTTTTCTGTCAGGGTCTCGAGGAGGGATTGGAGGTTGCGGAGGAGGATTTGGGATTGCGCTTGGAGGGATGCCCTGTTTGGTGTTGCGCAAAGTGTTAGCCGTCTAGAATTCGGTTTCCTTTTTTCTTGAATCGTGTGTCTTGATGGATTGGGGAGCTACGAGGAAGGAGGAAGGGAGGGAGGGAGGGAGGGAGAGAGGGAGAGAAAGCCTACGGGGGAGGAAGCGGGTTGCTCTTCAAGACGTCCATCCGCAGACCCTGGATACTGTTGGAGAGTTGGAACAGACGCTGGCGCGTCTGCTCAATCGCCTTGAATTCATCGGCCGTGATGCCGAGCGCGTTCGGCTTGTCCATTGCCCGTTGTCTTATTTTTTTTTTATCGTGCGTTGTTTCGTCTTCGTGCGGCTTGTCGCAGATCGGAGAATCGTAAAGGTTCTTCGGGGATCGTAGCGGGTGATGGAAATCGCACAGCTCACGCGACTCGACGCGCCGAGGGTTGTTGAGTGCTTCGCGAGTCGCAGGAGGTGACAATGATTGGGCAAATTGTGTCGTGAGGTGATGCGACTGCACAATTGGTTCTTCGACGTCGTCGGGAGCAGGGAGCGTGGGGGTGGTTTGGTTGAGAATTTACCGGAACTGGAGCTTTGTCTATCCAGGTTGAGGAGGGGAGAAAAGGTACGAGTGACGTTCCAATCCACTCGGCCCGGGGATAATTTAACTGGGTCCAGGAGCTCCGCGTCGAACGGGGGTGTGGGCAGCGATCGCGGCGTCAGCACGTACCTCGCGTACCCCGCTGGCCCGGCGCAAATCCCAGCTGAAAAAGCGATGCAGGGCCGGGAGCAGGGGCCACGCGGGATGAAATTTGTCTCGGTTTTCCCAAGTTATTAGCTAAGGTGGAAGGTAGGTAGGTACGCATACAAGGGAGGCCTACGCCGACCCCTCATCCTTAGATTCGTGCGAGGCTCTTCCTGGTGACGGGGAAACCACCACACTCAATTGGCTTCGGGTTTGCATGCTTGACATACCTAAGATATTCAAATACAGCTAGCGGCGTGGGAAAGCACTCACCTTGTTAAGTGAAGCCAAGGCGGTCCCATTAAAAGAACACGGCGTGATGGGAGTGGCACGTCAAGTGAGGCAGTCGGGATATCGTGACGACGGGCGAGCTGCTTAAAGTGGTCTCTGAGTAATCCTCAGAGGTTGAGTGCCACGATTCAATGAGACAGGACCTTCAATGCAACTGACAACTTGCTTATGTGCTAATTCTTGGGCATTTATTTCCTAGGCCCCATTGAAAGCTAATATACAAAGCGCGTCTGGTCTGTCCTGAAGATCATGACCATGCGCCTAATCGCCTTGCGGATATCTGCGAGAAAGAAGAGAAAAGATATCGCGTGCTGTAAATCAAATGATATGCCCCAACGCCCCTGTGACATGCATTTTGGTGTCGTTATCATCATGAATATGCAAAGATTTACTGGCCGTGAGATCCAGCTTGGTCGTGAAGAACTCTGTGGCCAGTTGTGGCGCGGTCAACCTCCCGACCGTACTTGTCCACGGGCGGGTATCGAGCGCGACGCTCGAGGTCGTCCAGAGGAATCTGCGAGCGGATGTACCTGAGAAATGTTAGTATTGGGTCTGGTGGTTCATTATGCCAAGGTCACAACTTACTTCATTCTACCGTCATCAACGGGGTCGTAGTCCCAGCTAGTGAACTGGCCCTGGGTAAGAGCGCCCCATACAAGGCGACGCTTGCGCTGAGACTGCAAGACTTGCTCGGTGATGGCATCAAAGTCCCACTTGGCCTTCGTCTCGGCGTTGTACTCGTCAAGCTTTGCCTTGGCTTCCTCGTCCAGCAGCTTGCCGGTAATGGCCTTGGATGAAGCCAGGTTGACCAGCTCGAGCGGATCGTGCTTGAGATTGAACAACTGGGTGCCGTCTGCAGGGCAATGGATGTACTTCCAAGGGCCCTCTCGGATCATCATGAGCGGACTGACAGTGCCCTCGCCGGTGTACTCTGCGTAGACCTTGTCGTGGCCAGTCTTGCCCTGAAGATGGGGCAGCAATGAAACACCATCCATGGGTAGACCAGGAGCAGGCTTCGTGCCGACCAAATCGCACAGCGTCGGAAGAATGTCGAGGGTAGAAACGTTCTTGTCCACACGATGGGGCTCAAAGTCCTTGGGGTGGCGGACAAACAGCGGCACTCTGACGGAAGACTCAAAGTAGCTCATCTTGTACCACAGTCCACGCTCGCCGAGCATGTCGCCGTGGTCGCCGCTGAAGACGATGATGGTATTGTCGTCCAGGCCGCACTTCTTGAGAACGGACAAGAGCCTTCCGACGCAGTCATCAACGTAGCTGACAGCGCCGTAGTATGCGCGGCGAGCCCGCTTGATTTGGTCGTCGGTGAAATCGTAGTCCCAAAGATCGCAGACCTTCATGAGACGCTTGCTGTGGGGATCCTGTTCTTCCTTGGGAATGCGAACCTTGGGCAGAGCAATATCGACGTCCTCATAGAGATCCCAGTACTTGTCCTCAATCGTGTAGGGGTCATGAGGGTGAGTCAAAGACACGGTGAGAGCGAAAGGGCGCTTCTCGGGACCCTCACGGACGTGGTCGTACAGGAACTGAGTGGAGCGGAACATGACCTCCTCGTCGTAATCCAGCTGGTTGCTTCGCACGCAAGTGCCGGCTTGGAGGATGGAGCTGGAGTTGTGGTACCACTCAAGGCGGGTATCTGGCTCATCCCAGTTGACGACCCAGCCAAAGTCGCCGGGGTAAATGTCGCTAGTCAAACGAGTCTCGTAGCCGTGAAGCTGATCCCCGATGAAATGCATCTTGCCTGCCAGCGCAGTCTGGTAGCCCTTCAGACGCAGGTAGTGGGCGTAGGTGGGAATCTCACTGGAGATCTGGCTGGCGTTGTCGTAAGCACCAATCTTCATGGGCAAAAGACCGGTGATCAAACTCATGCGCGATGGCGCGCACAACGGGGAGGGGCAGTAGGCAGAGTCAAACTGAACAGACTCGGCGGCAAGAGCATCCAGGTTTGGTGTCTTGATCTGTGACTCGGGGTTGTACATCTTGAGCTGGGGCGCGGCCAGTTGGTCGGCCATGATGAAGAGGATATTGGGCTGCTTCGCGCTCGGTGCGCCATTGCCGTTGCCGTTGGCAGACTTGCCATTGGCGGGTTGCGCCAGAGGCGAAGAGGGAAGTGAGTTGAGATCGGGAGCCATTGTGCTTGTAGCCAATGGTCTCGAGTGAAGAATTGTTTATTGAAACTTGAGCAAGTTCGTTGGAGATGGTGATTGTGGTGTTATTCTTTGTTGCGTGGAAGGAAAATGTTTGTGGCTTGTGAGAGGGCTTATAAAGAGCCGATGTGAGTATGTGTCTCAAGTGCGAAGGTGGGCAGTGATTGGAAAGTTTATAAGTGACCAAGGACAAGGGATGGTCAGTGATTAGGAGAAAAGCACAATGGATTGAGTCTTCCGGATGATCTAGAAAAGAGAGAAGGAAGTTAATCACAATTCATGTGGGAAGAAGCGTCCTTTAAGAAAGTAAGCCAAGAGAAGAGAGCGAGAGCAGTCCCGTCCGCCTCGACAGTCCACCTGCCTGACCTAGGACCAGCCATGGGCCATGGCCCTAGGAGCCCGACAGGAAGGGACGACGGGACGTGGAGAAGACGGGCGTGGATGGATGGACAGGAGGGCGAGGCAAGGAGAAGCAGCGCCAGACGCCAAACGCCAAACGGGGGCCACGCCAATGCACAGACACTGCATATGCAATAAAAGAGGGATCTGCGGAGTACTTGAGATAAGGATACCCCAGACCCCGTCGCATTGCCTGAAGGTGCCCAAGTGGCGCGTGCAGTACGGTGGGGCTTTCCCGACTCATGCAATGTCACGGGGCTCCAGCTGCTTCTTTCCTCCCACCCATCCTTGGCGACTTGGAATACTCAGTATCCGTACCAAAGGTACACTAGGTATCAAGGCCACATGTGCCAGGAGCAATACGGTGAGGTGGCCGATGAGCGGGAAGGAACGGGGTGAAGGCACAACACCTTACACCTGACAGCTGTGGGTGGCAGAGGACAGCAGGATCGCCCGGAGCCCGTTCCCGTCATGTTCAACAAATTCTCCCTCCAGTCACCGATCCAATGATGAAGGAAGGAAGGAAAGAAGGCACCTTACCGTGCACTCCGTGTAGGTCATCAGCCAAAAAACTGTCAGACAGCAACAGCCGCCATCCAATTCCAACCCGCCTTACTAAACTTGTTTAGTCACCGCCTCAACTCTGCTTCCTCCACCTTCTTCTCATTTCGCCATTCAATGATACGGATAACTCATTATAATTTCCAAACCACACTACCTCACTACCCACACTACCTTAAGCTCGTCGCTACGTGCTACGCTTACACCTGGCACGCCTGCGTAGTCTGTGACTCTATCCAAGGAAGACAGGTCGACCGCAATGCGTCAAAAATATGGCGTTTTCCGATCAGCCGATTGCGAAATAGCCCATGCAAAAGCACCGACCAGCCACTCAACCACTTTGTCAGCATGGCGGCAACATCAACTCGTCGTTACAGTATGTCTCTTGTCATGTACGTAGTAATGAGCTCTGCATGCTGGTGTGATCCGTATCCGCATCACAAGAAGCAATTTCTTCTCCATCCGCTTCCATTCTGCATCACCCTTCAACGCTCCTCCGCGATAAGGCTAGTCGCTTTTTCTCTCACCGTGGGACCCGAGCCACTCCATGCAACAAGCGATGGCTGGCGGTGTGAATAACACGTCCCACGACAAATGAAAACACAGCGCCGGAAACCCAAACGGCCGGCTGCACCTTCTCGAACATTGAGCATGGGCATGGGTCGGCTAGTCTTGCTCTTGTGCTATCTCGGCCTCTCGTGATGACTGGTAGGGGCACCCTAGACTCCTCGAGCACTAACAAGCTTCGTTATGCTTCAAGCAGGAATAACAAATTCTTTCCCATTCGCTAGTCCCCTGCTAATTGGACCCCTGGATCTCGACGACTATACCCCAATCGCCCTCTTGCAGCTGGGTACTTACCCAAAGACCTGCCCGTAACCTGCATAAGCGTCGCTCAACCCAAGGACAGGCCTTTTTCCGATTAGCTGGACGATTGGACGGTTCTGGTGTGCCCAAGGGAACATTCTTTCGATAACGGTCGCTTCAATGGGGGGGCATGCCATTCCTGCACGCACGCGACAAATTTACGGAGGACTCCGTTCCCCCTTCAACGACCTCCACTGATAAAGGCACCGAACCGAAGCATGAGAAACAAACACTGAGACGAGATGGGTCCGACGCAAGTTATCGCGCACATTGATACAAGACCCAGAGTCTGCGTGCAGTCGGAAGGCAATATCTACAAACACTCAAGTGATGTGTAATACACCCAATTATTCTGGCCCAGACCCCAGTGTACGCATGCAGGGCACAATCACCAGCACCGTGGTTGCGAATCGAAGCGAACGGGGCACTTCTCCAGTCTCCAGATTCCAGATGGGGAATTTTGGACAAGCACGGGGAGGGACTGTCGGAACCACCAACCGACAACTCGCCTGGCTCTTGAATCCACCTCTCGGCTCTGCTTTTTCATATGGGCCTGGCATCTGCACCCCATGCCAAGGCGGCGACATCTTGACAGCACTCTTAGGGGGCCACGTATCCGTATTCTCCTGGCAGATCAACCAAATCACAATTCCACTATCGACAAGCTCAGAAGATGTCGTGATGGCGTCCACCTCCGACCTCCCGCCGGTTCCCACCCCGCATTTGCGGGGTTACCCTCATGGCTGGCCGGTCACGCCATCGGAATAAGGTCTCCTACTCCGGGCGTGGCTCATTTTCTTGCCTCGCACCGCTTCTAGAGTATAGACCTCTCCGTCCCCGAACGATGTGTCTCTCACATCTACTGGTCACCGGTGCACGCACCAACGCACCAGTGAGTAACCGTAATACTCGATAAATGCTTACCGCCGGTGGTGTGGCCCCGGCTCCCGGTCAAGCCATACCGCAATCACATCATCGCGCTCCAGTATTGCTTCATCAACTAGGCTGCGGATTCCGACTCAAATTATCGTTTCACCCATAACAATCAACATCGGTAACGCAGCATTTCAGCATCAGCATCAGCCATCAGGGCCTTTCTTCCGGTTTCCCAGCAAGGGCGAGGATTAAACCCTCCGACGATCCGTTCATTTCCTCCCATGCGCTTCCGTCTTGCCTCGCATCCCCGCCCACCACGCGTTTGCTCAGGTTGGTCAGCCTCCACGTTGCACCAGGCGAACCAGCTCGTTTTCGGCTGAGTCGTGCGCTTCGCTCACTGGGGATCATCTGATGAGCCAGCCCATCACACACATTTCTTCTCCGCACCCGTTAATTGCATGACTGGCGCATATCGTCGATTCCCTCCCTCCGGCTCATTGCGTCCAAGGTTGATATCTCAATGGATAGCGTATTACCCCTCCATCCCGAACATCCCGTCGACGGTCTCGCGGCCACTCGCGGCATACAAACAATGCCAAGCTACTCCCGACCCCAGAACAAATCCCCCTCCCTCCTCTCCAGGCTCTAGTCAACGTCGGGCATCTGCACACCGTGCAGCAGCATCCAAGGAGACCCTCGAATCACATCTCGTCCTGCTCCGCTGAGACACTGGCCAGGGGTCCCCCTCTGGAGCACAACGTCACGCTCACCAGCGCACCAACCAACAGCGAACAACAAATCAACCTTCCCTCGTCGAGAAGGCTGACAAGACATGCAACAATCCAGCACATTAATTTACGGCGAAAAGCGCTTTTCGTGTGCCCGCGAGCGTCGAGCACACCTAGACCTTGTCCCGCTTTGCCTATCTGCACCCTCGTCGATACACACACTGTCAATCACACGCGTGCGCAGTGCCAGCAACCCACGCATTGTAACTGATAACCGCAATGACACACCAGAAAGGCGCTCAACCGGCCCCGTGAATCGGAGGTAGAGGCACACGATCGATGATCGGCCAGAACATCGTCGTCTCCCCGCTCAGCCGCCGTGGACCCCTCATATCTCCCGTATCTCAACGCCAACGACTCCCCATGTCCTAGACACCACGCAAAAATGGTGCCTCAATCAATCTGTCCTTGCCAACAAACTACACCACCAACCTGATAGATGCATACACCACCATCACACAGGACACGCTTCCCTTGCTGAAAAGCTCATTATGATTTCCCCCTTTGGATCCCGTGGCTCTGTCTGCGCCCCCTTACTGTGTAAAAGAAGTATCAAAACTACTCACATGACCGTACTCCTCGCGTTTCGCCGTCGGCTCTTGGCATTCCACACTAGAGGCCACGGGACCAAAAACTCTTCCCCGACTCCATGACATCCGCGAGGCTACGGATACCTTGACCCTTTTGATGTGTTTATTTTCTGTTGGGCGTGCATCGTCATCACCACCACCACTTATTCGGAAACATCATGGTCTATGCTGCGCCTTTATCGTCTACACGCGACATAATAGCGACCACCATTCCATCGTGAGTTTTGACAATGCGGGGTATATCATTTCAAGGGGTAAAAGTATCTACACATGAACACCCAACCTAGACATGTTGGCCTGAAATCTTCCTCATGCATCGCACTCCTATCCCGCTACATCTTCAACTTCCCAAAACCCCCCCCTCTCTACCCACCAGCACAACCTCATTGACCTTAATCCATTTGAACATTGTGGTTTCTCTTTTGTTTGCTCATATATACTCTTATAAGCAATACTGCTTCCTTCAGCGCTTCCCTTCTCATCCCCTACTTCTTCCCACAACCTGAGTTGAATGAATTTTCATCACCCCGCAATGCGATCTCGAATAGAATAATGTGACGACGAAGAAGAAGACGAATGTAAACACAAGAAACCGCCCAACCTCGCCTTGCTTTGTCAATCAGAGAACAAAACCCTTTAAATATGCGGGTTTTCCCGAAGTTCAAACATTCCCGTCTCATGCAACCCCCCATCGAGAGATACAGAGGCATGAGTAAAACAACAAAAGATGATCCTGCACGCCCCCCAATCCAACACAAGCGACGGACACGCTTGCGTGCCCAATTCCATCCCATCAATCCATGTCTCATGTAACCTTTTTGATCCCGTCCTCTCTCTCTTCACATCTCTCTTTTGCGGTATACTCCTCTGCCGTCCGTCTACATACTACCTTGTACCGGATTGCTGCAAACTCCACCCCGCTTTACTGCGTACGGTAAAACTTCTTGTACAAGAGATGCAGCAACAGGTTGACGTTCAGCTTGAGGCTCCCCTCAAAAAGGTTCATAAACTGGTGGGCCTCGAACTGGGCCTGCAGCAGATCCTCAATGGGTACGAGGGCGCTTGCCCCCGGCATCTGGATGTGGCCGCGGGACCCCTCGAGCGAGAAGACGCCAACCTCGTCGCACGAAATGGTGAGGTTGACCCTCTCCCAGTCGGTGACGCCACTCCACCCGACGAGCACGCCTTTCTCCGCTAGAGCCCGAGCGCTATATTTGTAACTGCCAAACTTGGGGACCCGCCCGCTGCGTTCCAGTTCGCGCTGGTGGTTGTACTGTTTGGTGAACGGAAGCAGGAACCGTTTCTTTCTGTAAAAAATGACGAGATTCAGTCAGCGTATGGCGACAC